AAAATCACCACCACCACCATCACCACCACCAGGTATATACTGGGAGAGAAATCAACATCGGGAAAAACAGAAAACAAGACCCACAAGGGAACTACATAATTCAATGATTGTCTCACACATGCATTACAATAACTGTGTAGGGCGGTGCCTGTGGCTCAAAGGAGTAGGGCGCTAGCCCCATATGCCGGAGGTGGCAGGTTCAAACCCGGCCTCAACCAAAAACTGCAAAAAAATAAAAAAAATTTTTTAAAGTATCAAATGGAAATTCTGCAAGTAAAAAAAAAAAGTCTACTGAAATTAAGAATTCAATAAATCGGTTTTAAGAAATTAGATACACATGAAGACTAAGATTGGATAAACTGTAATATAGACCAGAAGTAAATTCCAGAATGAAGAGAACAAAAGACAGAAACCACAGGAAAGCATGGAAGAGATAGAGGAAATTGAACAAAAACGTTTGACCAATGTTAAATGGAATTCTGGAGGAATGAAGGTGAATGGAGCCAAAGCGATATTTGAAAAGAAAATTTAAGCATTTTCTAAAACCAATAAAAAATCTGAAGTCACTAGGTAATGCTGACCAACTGTATAGCCCATAATGATATGTGCTGACATAATCAGCATAATCCACATTGTAGGAAACCCCACAAAATAAATAACCTGCATTCAAGAAATTGCAAGGAAAAAAAAGAGATGAAACAGAAATCTAGAGTCAAAGAGTTAAGAAACAGATCCATCAATCACAGCACGTGGACTGTAAGTGGATACCTATTCAAAGCACCTGGGAAAAAAATAAATGTCCAAAAGACAATTGGAAATCTGAACAGTAATCAAACATGACATTATTAAAGAAATACTGTTTTAATTTTTTCCATTTACGTATGACTTTTTTTTGTGATTGTCTTAGAACAAAGTTCTTACTTTTAGAGATTAACTGACATATTTACAGAGAAATACACAGAATGAATGGAATTTGCTTCAAATAATACAGAAATGGACTTGGTGACCAAGTTATGGCGCCAGTCACGTACACCAAGGGTGGCGGGTTTGAAACCAGCCCAGACCTGCCAAACAACAACTACAACAAAAAAATAGCCGGGCGTTGTGGTGGGCACCTGTAGTCCCAGCCACTTGGGAGGCTAAGGCAAGAGAATTGCTTTAGCCCAAGAGTTTAAGGTTGCTATGAGCTGTGATGCCATGGGACTCTACTGAGGGTGACCTAGTGAGACTCTGTCTCAAAAATAAAAATAAAAAATACAGAAGTGATAAGTTAATGGGGTTAAAAAGACAATTTGCTGTGAATTGTTGAAACAGGTGATAGATTTGTGAAAGTTCATCATATTTTTCAGTTTACTTTTGCCAGTGTTCAAAAATTCTCCATAATTATTAGTAACCTTGTTTCCCTTGCCAGATTCATAATTCACCTTTTGCCATCAGTTTTTAAGACAGCGTAAACTAGGAAATAACAATATGCTATCCCACTCTACTCTCCAAGCCCCAGGTATAATAAACTCATCTCGGGTTAATCAAAAACCTAATCATTAAGCTGTATTACTCTAAGCCAAGTACCAGTAACTTTATTTAGTTAAAGTTTGATAAATGTTAAGACTTCCATTGCACCTAACGACTTTAACATGTTGAAGAATTTTGGTGACATGGAACGTAATTTGTAGTGTTTTCATTAATTTGGCTCAATTTAATCTGATGGCATCCATTTTAGTAAGTTTTCAATGTGCCATACTTCAAAATAAACCCAGACAAGAATAACAACCTACAATTATATTTTTCATTAATTTAGACTTGGTCTATTCCAAATTAGGTATTTTACTATAGCATGTATTCATCACAGTCTGTATTTATAGCTTCAAGTTACATACTTTCTAGTACTCTCTTTAAAGTATGTTTTAGTACATTCTAGAAGCTTAGAAGCTTTGATGTGGAAAAAAAAGATCTTAATGTATTTATCTAAGAGTAGACAGAAAAAATGAATAATGCCTTTAATCTAGCTTGGACTCCACTGAGTCCTTAAAGGTGGGCAGATAAACACGCATACAAAGAGAACATAAAATATGACCAATCACATTTAAAATACGAAATGCATTTTTTTTTTGAAATGCATTTTTTAATAATTTGTGATTTTACATATCCTGTATCATAGATACTACAGATTAAAGATTTTATCTCCAACAGACATTTTCTGGGAGTTGCTCCATGTGAATTCCAGAAGAACGTTGTAATGTTTATATCCTTTGGGGTCTGTAGCCACAAGTAAGTGAATTCAGCGTGGAAACCAAAATAAGCCTTTCAAGTATTTCAAATAAATTTTCCAACCTCATACCGTGGTGAACAGTGATTTCTCCTCATGTTTTCATTCCTTTGCACGTATATGTTGCAAAAAGTTTATCAAAAAGGCTTTACATGAAATACGTAAGTCATGACCTGCTATTTCTTGTTGATAGCTTTAAACTACTTAAGCTGTACTTTCTTATTAAATACTAAGGAGAAAGACCCTTCTGAGGACTACAGGAGGCGGTCAGCTTCTGGATGTGAATTGTAGAAAGTAACAGCCAGATTTTATCTAACTTAATGATGGGTACTATGTACTCAAACGTTGCTTGACAAATGCAATTAGTGTAACCTGGATCTTTGTACCCTCAATGAATCTCCAGTGATTAAAAAAACAAAAATTGAACAGTGATCTAAAAACTATAAGATATCAACAGATTAATCATCTAACAGCACTGCTTTAATTCTTATTATTCCTTTGCACCAAAACTGTCAATGATTTATCGGTGAAAATACACTCAGTCTTCTTAACTTGCAATTGGCAATTTCATGACCTTGCTCACCCTGAACTTGGACCTGCAGCACTGCACATGTGCTTCCTTTTAAATGTTCTATGGTGGCTACAGAGGGGACTGAACCGAGACACAACGACAGCTACTCACCAACCAAACGCCACACTACAGAGAGTGGCAAGCTGCTACCTTAACAAGAGGCATCTGCTTTTCCCTCCGCGTCTGCTTCTTTCAACATGCAACTGCAGCTTTACCCTAGGATGGCAGGTACCAGCGGGAGCTGAATACAGCTGTACCTTTAAGGCCAAAGAAATGCTAGGAAAATGACGTGAAATGGAACAATCGAATTCTGCTCTTACCTGACTTACCTTACAGCGCAAAGAAGAGGAAGAAAGTCTTATTTCAATGAACCTTATTTTCTCTTTTCCTTTATCATCACTGAAGATTTGTGAATGAGATAATTGCACATTGTATTTCTAGAATGTCTCTGTCCAATTCTCTAATTTCCTAAAGATGGGTAATAACTCCAGGAATTACATTAGTGGGTTGCAGAAAAAAAAAAACCTGGAGTATTACATCAACATTATTTCCACAGACTGAATAAAACTTACTGTAGTTGAAAGCTCCTCAAGAAAGCCTGTTGTAAAAGCTAGAAAAGAAAAAACTTGGAAAAAAGTTTCCTTATTGCAATTACTTTATATTCAGTTAACTACAATTGAAAACTGCATATTAAAGATCTTTAGAAATTACAATTCATCACATAATTAAATCTCATTACAAAAAGTAAAACAGACCTACAGCATCAGGGTTGTCCTACAAATCATTAAAAAAAAATAAAGAAAATGTTAACACATACACATACTCTATGTACTTAAATAACTGTTCAAGACTTAACACAGCCTAAAACAGAAAAATGTGTGACTAAATACCTGTGAATGGGGGGTGGGGAAGGTGGGGGGGATCATTTCATTTAGAAACCCTTAGTTATGCTTTTTCAACTTTAAATCAATATGGATTTCTAGCCCAACAAAATAAAGAACAAATGCAAATGGCTTTTAGTTTAGTGACACGGCCTGTACAAAACAACACTTGTACTGGTTTGTTGGTGTCAGATGTGAAACCCACTTGGACAGCCACAAGGAGACACAACTCATTTACTTCACAACAATACTATTATTACTGAGTTCCTTAAAATATCCCAAGCAGAGCCCATTATAATTTCTGACCTAAAACTTAAACGGGAAATTTTTTAAAACCACTACAAACTCCAAATCTGAATTTGGGATAGGAAAAAAAAAATCATATACCACAATCACTGAGAAGTAACATTTACCATTTGCTGGGCTTTGCACTGACACTTTCCTATGGACCTTCTTTACTCTTCGCAGCAGTCTGATGACATGGGCACTACTACCATCCTCATCTTACAGATGAGACAACCAGGGCCCAGAGAGACCAAGTAACGTGCCACGGAGCCAGTCTGGCCCAACCTTGTTTGTAAACACCATCCTACTCCTTTCTTAAACTCAAAGTTACTCCACAGAGAATGTAGTAGAAATTACCTTTCAGTAGACAGTTGACCCTGAGTTTGAACTACATGGCTCCACTTACACATTTTTTCCAACCAACTTGGCTTGAAAATACAGTTATCTGCTGGATATGAAACCCACTCGTATGCAAGTGGACCTTTCGTATAGGCGGGTTCCCTGGGCTGACGGTGGGACTGAGTATGCACAAACTTGAATATATTCAGATGGCTGTGGAACCAGTCTCCCCCATATACTAAAGGACAACTCTGTATCTATACCCTACTAGAAGAGGGCAATTCGCAAAAGTGATGGTATAATGGGCATATTTAGTTAGAAATAGTGTTTTATAGTCAAAAACAGAAAAATTAAATAATGCTTAAAAATATAATATATCAATAAAATAGAACCTCTGTAAGTTTATCACACAAGGGACTTTAACAAACTGGTCAACATATTGAGGTGGTGGTCAACATAAGGAACTAGGCCCACTGTACTGATGCGTACATGTGGTGCCTGTCTGGTCTATGAAAATTAGGTTACCTTAAGGAGTTAGTCAATGTAGGGAGGTGGTCAACTACGTTGGTTCAACTGCATTTTTATTCATTTGGCTTAGAATATCTAGACCAGGGGTCCTCAAACTATGGCCCGTGGGCCACATGCGGCCCGCCGGGTGTTTTTGCCGCTGCTGCCTGTCCTGCTTAGCAGCCAACTCATCCCAGGCTTGCAGTCCAGCCCTTCAATGGTCCCTTCTGAGGGACAGTGAACTGGCCCCCTGTTTAAAAAGATTGAGGACCCCTGAGACTGTAGTGACTGAAATACCTGCATTCATATTTTTAAAAACAAACGTTTTTGGATATTGGTACCAGGCTGTTTTAATTGATATACATTTATGTAAATAAGAGTACTTTGCTTGAAAAATACAAAAATACATATTAAAGGGTATTACCAAATGTTGAAGCTTTATTGTATTGATTGCCTACATACTGAACATTACCTAGAAGTCCTTTGTAAATGGTTTCCAACAAGGGACTGCTTCGGACCTCACCAATGGTTTGAATTTAAAACTGATTCTTACCATTTGCTTTGTATGATTTATTTAGTTAAACACATTACAATCTTCTTTCACTGATCACCTGTGGCTTATTTTATTTTTTTTACTTACTTCTTATTTTTACTATTTTTGAGACAGGGACTCGTTATGTTGCCAAGGCAAGGTCCAAGGGATCTTCCCACCTCAGCCTCTTGAGTAGCTGGGATTACAGGGACAGGGCACCATACCCAGTGGCTGATGTTTCGTGAAAAGTGACATCAGAGGAAAGTTGAGACCTGTAAATTTCAAACCAGTTCTTCAGGTAATCCACACACCATTTTGCAGGATTAAACCAGTCTTTAATCCAAAGTATCAGCCATTTTGTCTGAGTACTAATTGTCTGAGTTTTATGAAGTCCCTCAGGTACTTGTGAGATTTTCTGTTCTGTTTTTTTTTATGGATTCTAACAAGTTTTTAACTCTTTCGCTTGCAGCCTTTTTACTTTTTTTCTTGGCAAGAGACTTAGTGCTTACTCTAGAGGGCAGCAGCAGGGCGGCGAGTCCCCAGGGCTGATGATTTGATGGAGACTGTGGACCCTGATCTTCCTGTTGTAAAATCCAGGCACTTTCTCTGGCCAAATCTACAAATTTTTGCAGCTGGCTTTGACTCACATTTTTGCTTATGTTGAGAGAAGTTTCAAAAGGATTCTGGATGTACAGAGGAGAAGAATCAGGTTTGTTCTGTTCTTTTCCCTATAGATTATTACAGAAGAAAAAATAAGTACATGAAAGGCTTAACTGTAAGAACAATTTGGTTAACATAATAAAATATCAAGACAAATAAAATACCAACACTACCTTTGCAGAGTAAAGAATCTCTTTTCTAAGAGGGTTAGGTGGGTTTGTATGTGTGAGCTTCTATTTTTGTTTGTTTTAAACTACTGTAGTTTGATAAGTATTCTTTGAAAAAAATAACTTAGGCTTATTATATGTGATGTCAGGGTTGCTCAGATGCAGGTATCTGGACAAAGTCAACCAAGAAAAGTACTTTTTTTCATTTTAGACAGAGTCTCACTTTGATGCCCTTGGTAGAGTGTGATGGTGTCACAGCTCACAGTAACCTCAAACACTTGGGTTCAAGTCATTCTCTTGCCTCAGCCTCCCTACTAGCTGGGACTCTAGGTGCCAAGCACAATGCCTAGCTATTTCTGGAGACAGGGTGTGGCTCTGGATCACGGTGGTCTTGAACTCCTGAGTTCAAGCAATCCACCTGCCTCAGCCTCCCAGAGTGTTAAGATTACAGGCATGACCATCACACCCGGCCTAAAAGCACTTTTATTTATTTTTTATTTTTTCCAAAAGCACTTTTAAAATAATCTTCTGCCTAACAAGCTGGAGTTTGAAAGTTAAAAAAAAAAAAAGGGAGAAAGAAAAATGGTGAAAAATAAGATGAAAATCAATTTATTTTTGAAAGTTGCTAAAAGCGTGCCAATTACAGTGGGAACAGGAATATACAGTTAAAATCCTTAAATTAAATATAACAACTAATGTTTTCTAAGTATGAAATAAGAAAAGAAAAGAAACAAAGGACTATTCATTATTCACTTAAAATACTAAAAAGTTTCTATTACATTCCTAAAGATAAAACAATAAGGCTCTGCCATGTAAGACAATACCTCAAAGAAAAAAGAAAAGCTGAAGCTATGAATCGGATGAATAGCGGTAAGTCATGAGCCCAGTGGTTCTCAACCTTCTTAATGCCTCCTAATGCCACGACCCTTTAATACAGTTCCTCATGTTGTGGTGACCCCTAACCATAAAATTATTTTCACTGCTACTTCATAACTGTAATTTTGCTAGTTATGAATTGTATTGTAAATATATCTGATATGCAGGATGTATTTTCATTGTTACCCACTGGTTGAGAACCCCTGCATTAGACTATATACCTTTTCCTCTTTCAAATAACACCACAAATATTACTTATTACAAAGCCAATGATCAAGAGTCTCCAATGTGAGCAGCACCTGCTCATTCCCTAACTATTTTCCTGCTGCTCAGAAATGGCCTTGCCTATCTGTCATCTCTGAGCCCTAGAGTACAAAAAGGATAAAAGAATTCTGTATGTTTGGTGACCTTTTCTTCCATGTTGCACGTAGAGCTTCCTGTATTCTTTCTCTCTTCCCTCCCCACACTTTTTATTTTAACGAAGTCTCCATGGACAAGATAAAAGGGAAGAATGAAAAAAGGAGAGCTCAGGAAAAGTATCTGTGTCCGTGTTCTGTGAAGTCAATCCTGTGAGGTTTGCAACCACCTGGAGAATGCTAAACAGAATTAACCCAAACTGAGCCATCACAAGTACTTCCCACTTGTAAACAAATTTTGGCTAGGTTTCTGCCCTGATTATATTTATTTAGAAAAAAAAAAAGGCTATCATTCCAGCTACTCAGAAGGAAAAAAAAAATCATAAATTCATTTGCTTTAAGTAAATAAAATCCTAAGGGCCCAAACAGAAGGAAAACATTAGACTCTATCTTGGGGACTATATATTAAATTTCTTGCACAGAAAGACCAATCCAGTTTTAATAAAACTGTAGGCAAAATTATGTTTTCCAGAAAACTTTCCATAATTTATGTCACACTGTAAAGGACTAGGTGACGACAGAGCACTGTGGCATAAAGAGAAAGGCAGAGGCTAAAAAGAGCCGGCTTTCGGCCTTCCAAATGGTGAGATGACTGATCTGAAGTTGAGTAACTCACTCCTCTGAGCTTCGCCCTTCTTATTAGTACCTAGTACTGCAGACTGGAAATAACATTTGTTATAGTGCTTTGAAAATTAAGTATTAGTAAGGAAGAAGACCAGATACTTAATAATCGAATATTAAAACATTTACCTGTCGAATATTTAGGGAATACTTATTGAAAGCAAAATTGCCAAAGTATTCAAAAAATTCCTTCAGTAGTAATTCTGCAAGAAAATAAAAAAGGAAAATCAGAAGAAAATCTGCTTCAATCCAAAAAGGAGTAAAGACAAAGAAAAACACTTACCTAGTGTTTCTGTGTTTCCTGAAGGATGAATTCTGTTCAAGTCACGAACAAATGTACAGTTGTTGCCTTCTATCATACATTTATCTTCAGCATCTTAAACAAACAGAAACGAAAAAGATTTCATACTATACTTCAAAGATACTTCCTACCTTGGAAAAGAAGTCTATGATTTAAATAAATCAGTCATAGTGTCAATTTTATCAATGTTATATACATTCGCAGTTAATAAGATTTAAAATTCCATTAAAAAATGTGACTAATTATACTACGGTGAAATTAAAATTACATTTAATTAACCATGCTAGAATTATTCTCGATTGACAACCTAACAGTACCTAATCAATCTTTTGAGGTAATCAGTTTTTTAAATAAAAAATGAAAATGTAAGACATTCCTATTTTTGACCAAACCAGATTCTGGCATTATCTTAACTTAGTACTTAAGTTTGATCTCCAATTCCGTTCTTACCACCTTTTTATGCATCTAATGGGTGATTCATACATTCACACAAACTGAATGCTCCAGTCTTTGAACACTTCAGGTAATTTCTAAAACGCAATACTCCAGAGGGACTGGAATTCAGTAATTCAGTAAAAGAAGTTCAGGAACAGCCTATCAGACTCGGGCATTCACGTTTTCTACTACTATTTTTATCTTCAGAGATAATCATCCTCCTAATTATCACTAAATATATTAATACAACCACCATAAAATTCCTGGCCCATTCCATCTTCCACTACACAGTATATAATAAACTCCTTTTGAAGAACAAGTCCCACTCTGAGAAATCTCGTCAAAGGCTACCTTCTATCAGAAAGCAATTCACAATTCCAAACGTGTCCATTCTCTTTGTTCCATCCTCCCTTGTACTTACTTTGCTGACTGCATTTTGACTGTATGCATGCTGCCCCCTCCTTTGCCCCTGCGTGGGACTACAAAGGTTACTGTCCTATTCATTACCTGCCCCGTCCCCTGCCTGCCCACAACACTGTCTAGCACCCAGCAGACACCTACTCAGTAATCTGAATGATTATTTGATTGTAAATGCCTATAATCACCAGAGAGAAACTAAACCTGTCGACCTTTTTTTTGTGGTTGCTATTTTTTGTTAAAACCAGGGTTAGTGGCATAATTTCTCAAAAATCATTCTTGGTCGTAACATTAATTCCAGTAGCAAAGTTGATGTGCTCTACATTACAACTTACGGTACCCTAACGAGCTTACAGTTTTAGTTCTACTTAGAGCTATTATCGTGGAACCTGCGTACATGTTTTACTATTTTAAGAGATCAACAGTTTATAATTTTCGTCACACAGCGCCAATCACACATACTGATGCTCTTTTAGTTGCTGTCTTTTTACAGGAATGTATCTCCAATTAAAGCATTACTAACTTAGAAAAATGAGATCCACATTACAGTATTTCTAGAAATACACAGAGATAAAAAACTGTCTCTGGGTGTGGGTTTTCACTAAAAGGGCTTTTAACATAAAGTAATGAAATAAAGGAAAAAAATTATTCTTATTGAAGACAGGGCCATCTTTGTTTTTTCAAAACTCCTAAGACATTCCAGCCTGATAGAAAGCCTGGCTATCAAGTCCTTCCTCTCCTTTTCTCTTTCTTCTGTTTTCTCTACTATAACTATCACCCACACAGCACCCACACAGACCACTAGCCACCTGTGATAATGAAAAGTTCAAATTCCACTTTTGGGCCCTCAGTCACACTAATCATATTTTAGGTGCTGACAGGCACAGGTGGCTAGCGGCTACAGCATGAATTTCTATCATCATAGAACGTTCTCCTGGACAGTGCTGCCTTAGAAAAGTGACTCTCAGCCTATTCAGATATATGAGACTATCACTGTTTAATTCCATGACATTGACTTTCTTCTTAAAAGTACTGCATGAAACACGGGCAAAATTTATTAAGTAAATATAAACTCTCTCCTTGAAGAAAATAGACATGTAAGCACCATAATTAACTCGTAATAGAAATTCGATGACATCTTCCTTCACCCTAGGTGAACTTAAAAACTTCTATATTACTTAGACTTAATTTCCTTGCTTCCTTTGGAAATATTTAGATCCTCATAGATTGGCAAGCAATTACTGTCTTCCACATGACAGATAGAATTTAGGGTAACATTCTCACAGACATATCCAGATGGATAAACTTACCCGCATTTTTTTTAGGGAACAATACTGTACTACTATACTTCATAATTTGTCACAGAGATCCCTGCTGTCTATCTGGCATTAACAGATTACTAAGGGCTGCAATAGAATCATATCTATGAGTTGTACGATCATTTATGTTTTTTCTGGTCAAAAGAGCAGAAATCAATATTGTGCCAGGCACAAGCATTTCTAATAACTGGAAGTTGACAGGCACATGAATAAGAGATATAATAGGCATCAAGTTCATATGTGGGCTTAGTATTTTTTCCTCTTAAAAACACCCTTTATAGGGTGGTGCCTGTGGCTCAAAGGAGTAGGGCGCCAGCCCCATATACCAGAGGTGACAGGTTCAAACCTGGCCCTGGCCAAAAATTGCAAAAAATGAAACAAACAAACAAACAAACAAACAAAAAACATCCTTTATAGGCTCAGCACCTATAGCTCAGTGAGTAGGGCACTGGCCACATACACTGAGGCTGGCAGGTTCAAGCCCAGCCTGGGCCTGCTAAACAACAATGACAACTGCAACCAAAAAAAAAAAAAGCCAGGCATTGTGTTGTTACAAGTTTCTAGAATTATTTTACTGTTTAACCATTGTGTCTATAAATATGATAGAAATGAAACCTTAAAAAAAAAAATCAGTTCTTTTCAACACCATTAAGATTGTTAACACTACTAAGATGCAATGCACATACATGAGACATACAAATACATGCACATATGTAACAAAGAACTCAAACCCCAGAATATGCAAAATATTCCTAAAAACAAATAAGAAAGAGACAGATAACCCAACAGAAACACAGGCATAAGACTTAGACATTCTTTGCAAGAGATAACCAAATGGCTGATAAATACATGACAAAACGTTCAGTTACATTAGTCACCAGGGAAAAGACGATGACAAGCATACCATAGTGCTAGTACATATGCATCAGAACAGCCAACATAAAAAGACAGAATCAGCTGCCGGCAAAGACACACAACTAGAACTTGTGTGTGAGTGTAATGCCCATGGGAACTTATACTTTGGAAAACCACTGGCAGTGTCTACAACGGGTGAATATACAGGATGAGTAGAAAACAGAGCATATGGGCCATTTTCAATGCATGTCTCCCTTAATTAGCTTCTACTTAGAATTAGGAACTGTTGTTGTTTGGTATTTTATTCAGCAGGCTACCAAAATTTAATTCATTTACATAAATTAAATTGTATGCTAAATTTAAGATACAACTAAGGCTGCTTATAAACTTTTAACTGAAATCACTTTTAGAATCTTTAAAGCATCATGAACAGTAACCCTAATATGTTAAAGTCTAAAGATAGGTCCAGATTTGAAAAGCATCTCTGAGACCGTGGTCTGGTCAAAAGCTGTGCCTGGGAAATGTTTCTTTCAAGGTTACTGTAGACTTGGTCAACTACAGGAGACGCTTCAACTATCTGGTGACTGTTGTAAACAACCCTGCCAACTGATACAATAAGAGAGAACTCTCAAAAAAATGCAAAAAGTTGGGCAGCGCTGGTGGCTCAAGGAGTAGGGCGCCGGCCACATATACCAGAAGTGATGGGTTCAAACCCGGCCCCGGCTAAAAAAATAAAAACTGCAAGAAAAACAAAAAAAATTCGAAAGTCTTAGTTTCACAAATCATCTGCTCTTTTAACCCTTGGTGGGCAATTAAAAAAAAACAAAAAGTACTTAAATGTTAGATTCGCAAGGCTTTAAAAAGCAAGACAAATTGTATGACTAATAAACAAATACACGTGGCTTTGATAACAATGTACAGTAATCATGTTCATTCCTAACAGCAGAAAGAGAAAACAGTGAACACTGCTTCTAGTCTTACCTGCTAGGGTTTTTAGCAAATCTAGTGTTGGAAGAATAGGAGGCGATCTTCTCTGGAGAAAAAAGATGACCATCATTGTAAGGGAGAAATTTGTAATCCATGCACCAGGAATACTGCTCGTTAAGGAATGTGCTCGGGCCCAGGATCGTATACTAAACACTAAGGCTCTTACTCTTGAGTCCAGGGAGCCATATATATAAAGGAGTTCAGAACTTTTCAAGGCAATCCTTAAAAAAGGAGAATGAAAAGTATTTTCAAGCCCCCAAATTATGACCAAACGGTAAAATAAAACATATACCTGAAAACATATCTAAACATCTTACTATGTCTGAATGTATTCAGAACACCAGATCTGATAACTAAGCATTATGTATTTGCAATATAAAATTTAACATAAGTGGTTATGTATCAAATACATTCAATTCCCATTACAACATTCTTTTAAATACTGACAATCACAATGAAATTCTAAGACACAGAATTTTTAAAATTTTGGGGGGCAGGGGAGGAAGACAAGGTCTCACTCACTCTGTTGCCCAGGGCTAGCATGCAGTGACATCATCATAGCTCACTGAACCTCAAACGCCTAGGCTCAAGCAAAGCAGCTGAGACCAAAGGTACATGCCACCACACTTGGCTAATTTTTCTATTTTACTGTGTCGAGACATGGTCCAGCTGTTGCTCAGGCTGCTCTGGAACTTCTGGCCTTCCAGGGGTATCCAAACCTTTCTTTTTTTTGTTGCATATTGGAAGAAGATAAGTTGTCATGTATCACACATTAGATACACAAACTCTAGGGAAAGTTGATGAGCAAAAAAACAAAATGTGCATAATTTTTGTGATATCCAGCACCACAGATAAGCAAAACAAGCCTCAAGTAATCAACATGGAACCTGCAGGGAGCAGGTTGGACGCCTGTGCATGACCCTCATGCTTTGGTCTCCCAAAGTGCTGGGGTTACAGGTGTGAGCCACCATGCCAGGGCTTCATAAACAGAATTAAATCAAAACTTCTAAGTGGTGTTTAAATTACAAGTAAAACACACACGGTTCTTGATAACTATAAATAAAAGCACAGAAACGTTTGTAAATAAGTATCAGTCCCTCAGTTTCACAACCTGGTTGTCAAGTTAGCCTAAACATTGAGGAAAACATCCTAATCATATCATCAAGAAAAATCTAGTTTTAAAATTCTTACAATGTGTAAAACAGGCAAAATTACTTGACCCTAGTATTTATAGGGACCATCCAAGTCATGTCAGCACAAAAAAACCCCAACCAAAATTCATGAAGATAAAACATCTGTTAAGAAATCAAACTTCAAAGCCTACTTTCAATAAGTTTCCTAATCAAAATGTTAAAATGCAAATTTAAAGAATTATTAATCAGAAGCATTTTAAACTTAAGTTCCTACTGATCAAACTGTATCTTGTAATTTTTTAAAGAACCAACAGAGGGCACAAAATCATTTAATAGTATCAACTTAACACTATCTCTAAAAACCACCATGGCATTTACATCTTGAGTTTAAAGAGATTAGAAGAAATAGCAAATTCAAAATTCACAATAATCAGCTGGTGCCTGTGGCTCAAGGAGTAGGGCACCAGCCCCATATACCAGAGGTGGTGAGTTCCAACCTGGCCCTGGCCAAAAATAAAACAAACAAAAAAATTCACAGTGGCTCGGCGCCTATAGCTCAACCGGCTAAGGCGCCAGCCACGTACACCTAAGGTGGCGGGTTCGAATCCCCAGCCCGGACCCGCCAAACAACAATGACAGCTGCAACCAAAAAATAGCCGGGCGTTGTGGCGGGCGCCTGTGGTCCCAGCTACTTGGGAGGCGGAGGCAAGAGACTCGCTTGAGCCCAGGAGTTAGAGGTTGCTGTGAGCTGTAATGCCATGGCACTCTACCCAGGGGGACAGCTTGAGGCTCTGTCTCAAAAAAAAAAAAAAAAAAAAAAATTCACAGTAACTATTTTATATAAATGAAGCTAAATTAAGCTAACAATGAATATCAAATAGTGCAAGGTATCTGATATAAATAAACATTGTAGGAATACAAAAAGCTGAAGGGGACATGTTAAAAGAACTTCTTAAAAACCTTGTCCCAGGCTCAGTGCCTGTAGCTCAAGCAGCTAAGGCACCAGGCACATACACCTAGAGCTGGCAGGTTCGAATCCATCCCAGGCCTGCCAAACAATGACAACTACAACCAAAAACCAGCTGGGTGTTGTGGCAAGTGCCTGCAGTCCCAGCTACTTGGGAGGCTGAGGCAGGAGAATCGCTTAAGCTGAGGAGTTGGAGGTTGCTGTGAGCTGTGATGCCACCGCACTCTACTCAGGGCGACAGCTTGAGGCTCTGTCTCAAAAACAAACAAACAAACAAACAAACAAAAAACCTTGTCCCAACAAGACAAAGAAAGTAACACTATTATAATGACAAATCTCATTTTATCATATTTTACATAGCATGAAAAAAATGTAAAAGTAATCATCATTTTATATTAATATAATAATCACAGAAAGCACAGCATATATTTTTATTTTACATGAACATTTGGCAAGAAATCACAAAGACTTTAGTCCTTGGGCGAATGAGAGAAATCCAGAAGTAGGAAGAATCGGGATCGTGAACGCTCAAGTTTAACCAAAACTGCTCAAGCCCGGATTTTCTGAATCTATTTTCAGTATAGTTATTTACTTAACAGGTAATATAGTGAAATTAAACTCATGTAATGAGAATACTATAGTTAAGAAATAAACTCAGTTGAAAAATTTTCCCTATTGTGAACCCACTAAAAGTAATTGGAGTACGAAAGAACTTGTCATTCTCATCCCACTTTATTTTGTAAGCAAACAGGTTGCTAGGATAATACAATACAAATGTATGGAAACAAAACTGTCTAATCTTAAGTTGGTCACACCTAAGCAAAGGTTACATGTGTTTAGTACACAAAGTTGACTAAACTGGAAGCAATTTGGATGACAAATTCAAACTGCTATTTTATTTTTAAGTATACTTTGATGACTTATACTACAAATGGGTACACAAGTAAGAACAAAATATACAGAGGGTGACAAAAAATATACACACATTTTAAGAAAGGAAAATACTGTATTAAAATTGTAACACTCAATATATACCAATACTGTTTGTGATCTTGTGTATTGCATCCTGTATTAATTAGCAGATTTGCAGGAGTCAAATGTGACTTGAGTATTACAATTTTAATACATGTTTTTTTCTTTCTGAAAATTTGTATAGATAGTTTTTTGGTTCCCCCAGTATTTCTTCTTAGAAGATGTTTCATATGTTAACATTTTAACACAATATCCTAACACTTTGTTTAGAATACCAAATTATCAATAAGTATAAGAAAGAATTTCCTGGCTCGGTGCCTTTAGCTCAACCGGCTAAGGCGCCAGCCATGTACACCTAAGGTGGCGGGTTCGGATCCCCAGCCCGGACCCGCCAAACAACAATGACGGCTGCAA